TAGTTGAGATAACATAGATCAAAACTGGTCAAATTTGTGTATGTTTTTAAGAAATGCACCCAAAATCAGAGAATATTAACATAATCACCATTTTCATTTTATGTCTAATGATACAGATGCTGTGGCCTAATCCCTTTATGCAATACTCATGGTGAGGCCAAAAATTAGTTCTACATACTATCCTAACATGACTCATGGAAAGAACATTCTTTTAGAATTAACTGTACTTACACTGTTTGCAAAAATCCTGGAAGAAGGAACAGTGATCCAATTTTAAAACATGAGACCATTTTTGAAACCTATATTCTCAGGGTTTTCTAGCTGGTTTATAAATAAGTTTACATTTTAAATAAACACTAGATTATGAACCCAGCATCTGGTATCACGGTTAAGGTTCTGGACTCCCACATGGTTAATTGTGGTTCAAATAATGGACTGGTGGTTTGCTTTCTTACTTTACCTTTCTCTTGCTCTCTGTCTCTTTGGTGATTACATGTGCCCTATAGCAAACTTAAAAATAATAATAACGCTTAATAGAATAAAATGAATAATTTTAAAAAATAAACACTAAATTTATAAGTTGTATATAAAAATATCAAAATAGGACAAGTACATAAGACAAATTGGTTGAACAAAACAAGTTAATACAATATAAATACATAAAAATAAACATTGGAAAGTTTAGTTTTTATCTTATTTCCACTTGTATTAACAATAACAACATTTGATTTGCACTTTGAACAAGTTTGACATTAGCCATTCAAGAAGCAAATTGAAAAGTTAATATAAAAATATAGTTAATTACTAATCTCTTTAATGAGGCCAGCAAATTGTGTGGTGGTTAAGTCACTAGACTCTTGATTATGGTTCCAGTCCCAGATCTGGCAGTCCGTTTTCTTTCTCTCTCTCTCTCTCTCTCTCTCTCTCTCTCTCTCATGAGCACACATGCCCTTTAGCAAATTTAAAATAATGATAATATATAAGAGGAAATAAATAATTCTCTTTAAAAAATATATTTTGTGGGTTGAACCCATGGCCTGGTGATTAAGGCAGCTAGATTTTACATGGCTCAAGTCCCAGACCTGGAAGCCTAAGAAACATTCCAGGCATATGTGTATGCATGCAGGCCCAAAATCTAAAAAGGAAGGAGAAATGGAGAAGGGATTGCAACCTGACCATTTCCCATTGGAAATGCTTTCTTCTCTTCTTTTCTCACTATTACTCTGTCTCTCTGTAAGGACACATTTCCACTAGGAAAAACAAAAAGTGAAAATACCTGTTAGAATTTAGAAGTTTCAATTTTTTATTTTGTCACAAACTGTTTATTGTATTGTCACATGACAATCACACTCTTATCAAAAGATGTCCAAAATAAAGATAAAGAACCAAATATATTTGTGCTATTTTCAAAAGCTTTATTGCATCTAAATAGTATTCAAAAAGTGCACATATTTAATGTACATATTTGGGTAAACTTGAAGAAATGTATATCTTTTAAATATCACTACCCCTATCAAGAATCAACCTATCCATCTATATAATTTTTTTTTAATTTTCCTACAAGGGGCAGACAAGTGATGTGGTGGTAAGGACACTGGTTTCCCACATGACTGACCATGGTTAGAACTTTGGACTTTTCAACTTTCTTTCTCCCTTTCTCTCTCTCTGTCTCTTTTTGGTCAATATAAAATATTAGTAATAATGAATAAAATATAATGAATACTTTTGTAAGAATTATTTATTAAGTAAGGCACGTGCATTTTCCAGACAAAGATAAGAGAAGTGAGAAATCACCCCCCACCCCC